AAAAAAAAAAAAAGCTTCTGACAATTTTTGTCCATGTGAGGGAATGGCATTTGTAAATTTTGAAGTTCCTATTGACAACACAGCTATCAGGGAAGCCCACAGTACCACAGTATTGATGACAACGGGAGAGAACTACCACTCGGGATAGCTGGGTCTGACTCCAGTTCTCCTGGGGAGTGGCAGAAAGCCGGCATCCAGGTCCTTTGTTCTCTCCAGGCCTCTTCTGTAAATGTGTGAGGTGTGAGGAAGGTGGGGAACTGTAGGGAAGGGTAGGTTGTCCCGTGAATCTATAAATCCATGGCAAGTTCTACTGTACTTGTCTGGTAAACTTAAGGTTTAGTGTGCATTTGGGAGTGTTACTAGATACCTGAGCGAAGAGGGGTAGAGCTTAGTTCTGTTCCCACACCAAGGAGGCCTGCTTCAAATCATCCCCCAGACCTAGTGGGACACGTTTGTTGCGTGCTGTGTGGGTACTGTGCTAGGTGCTTGAAGCAGATTCTCTCACTGTAGCTTCTCCCAATTTCATTCTTCATAGTTAGGTATTAATAACTATTTCATCGATGAGGAAAATGACATTTCTCCGAGAGGACTCTTGAGGTCCTAATTATTATATTCCACAGATGAGGAAACAAAAGCTTTGGGAGTAAATGAACGGACCAAGGTCAGAGGTAGCAAGTGGCAGAGAACAATATTAAAGCCAAGTCTACGTCTTAACCACTTTGTCTGAGCCATAACCTCATAGTCCCCAAACCTGGAGACTGGGTTTACAGGGTGACAGGGCTGTGAGGAAGGGAGTTCAAAGAACCCACTGTGGATAAACAATGTGAAATGACTTTGACTTCATTATGTAACAAGATCAGCCCTCAGTTATCTGGGTTTTCCCAAATAAACTATTTCATTTTTCTTTTTGGTCTGGGCAGGCCTACTTACTCTCAGAGAATGAGGACATACACACCCGCTCTCTAAGGAAAACACTGGAATGAAGTATTTGTTTTTGTAACATATATGTATTTGTAACATATTTCAAAGACTATTTCTAAAAAGTAGTATTTTGGGAAATTAAAATATAAAAATGTGCACTGTTTGGGGGGCAAATATTTAAATAAGATACAAATGATTGTAAAAATTACTTTTTTTGAAAATCCATTTGATATTTTTCAACAAATTTCATACCATGGATATAATTACAGGGACACCTTGAAGACAGGTTCTGTTCCAGAACATCACAGTAAAGTGAATTTTGCAATAAAGCAAGTCACGTGAATTTTTGGTTTTCCAGTGCAAATAAAAATTATATTTACAGTTGTTTTTTTTATAAAGTTTTTTTTTAAGATTTATTTATTTGTGCATACAGAACTGGGGTACAGGCCAGAAGCTCAGGGGCGGTGAGAGGCTTCACTAGAGACAAAGTGGGGAAAAGAACAGGCAGATCGACGAAGTACACTGCTGAGGGGAGCAGCGGGCGGGTCAGAGGAGGTCTGCCACGCCATGTGGTCACCTCCAGGGCAGGCGGGAATCGAACTCATGCGGAAGCGGCTTTAGATTCTCAGTGCTGTGCTTTAACCTGCTGCGCCACCAGGGAGGGCCTACAGTTTTGTTTTGTTTTTTTTTTTAATAAAAACAAAGTGAGTACATACTGTTGAAAAATGAAATCATAGGCTTCATGTCTGAATCAGGATTACCACCAACCTTCAATTTGCAAAAAGGACAATATCTACTAAGCACAGTAGAAAGAGGTAGGCCTGTATGTAGTTATCATTTAACAAGTATTTATTATAGACCAGAGACTGTGGGGACACTTAAAAACATTATCCAATCTCATTCTTAGTACTTAGGTATTAATAACTATTTTATAGATGAGGAAAATGAAATTTCTCTGAGAGGTTTATGTAAATTGCCTATAATCATACAGCCATTAAATTGCAGAACTGGGAATAAAATTTAGATCTGACTGACTTCAAATTATATTCTCAAATCCTCCTGATACACTGATATCATTTAGGTGACTACTAAGCATAGAGAGGAGTCTCAATTTAATTCAATACCAACTTGAGTAAGAGTTTTATCTAATTACCCTTATTTAAATATTGTTGGAAAATTGAAAAAGAATTATTTCCAGCAAAAAGGACCTGACCAGTGTGTATTCTTACCCCACCAAAGTGTATTCACAACAAACTATGAAAACATTTACTGGATTCTGAACACATACTAATGGATGTACCGAGCTGCTGCATGGTCAAGGAAGCACGATTTTGAAAGTATAGTTTTATTCATGGTAATGAAATAATCGGCCCAAGCATTGTCATTTTTCTTAATCAAATTGAGAAAATTAAAAATTAACATTCACGTTTCTATTTTCCATAAAAGGCAAATCATATTGCAATTATTTTCTCTTTACCTCATCTAATAAAAACTGGTAGCAAAGAAAGCTACCTCTACAGGACAGAATGTTTTGTTTCTGGCAGGTGATTTGGGAAAATAACAGCACTTGTTCTGGTGCCTTCTAGGATTAGGAAAAACTCTAGGGATTAGGGCAAGAGGGTCTTGGGAGAGCAGACAGAGAGCTAACAGCACAGGCTGCTGAGGGGGCGGGGTGTGGGGGCATGTTGGAATCCTGGCTCAGCTTGTAGGTGTCTTGGTGACTGGCTTTGGATCAAGCCAACTGTGGCTACTCATTGGGGTGTACTGCGAAGCCCAAGGTTACTGAGCTGCTGACTCCAGGCCACCTGAGCCTGGGGTTAGGGGAGTAGGGGCCACTGCTGGTGGGAGCAGACACACTTCGTTCATTAAAAATGGAAGTGTGGGGCCCTCCCTGGTGGCGCAGTGGGTTAAAGCACAGCACTAAGAAGCTAAAGGTACTTCAGCATGAGTTCTATCCCCGCAGAGATGACCCAGAGGGTGTGGCAGACCTCTCCTAATCCACCCACTGCCCCCCTCAGCAGTGGACTTTGCCAGTCGACTTGTTCTGCCTCCCACTCTGTCTCTGGTGAATCCTCTCACTTCCCCTGCACCTCTGGCCTGTACCCCAGCTCTGTATGCATAAATAAATAAATCCTTAAAAAAAAAAAAAGGAAGTGTGAGGATTATGAAAAATAACCTGTAAAAGGCATCTTCCCAAAGCAGTCTGACGACTAAGGCAGAAAAACAAAAGGGGTGAGACTAACAGGCTACCATCAATCCTATCATTTCCAGAATGGAGCACCAGATTGGGAGGAGAGGAGCTGGGCAGTGAATTCTAGCAGTGGCAGAATCTGTGATCTGACTGGAATTCAGATCCTGTACATCTCAAGGTTCTGGAAAGGGTGTGCTCAATTTCCTGAACTGATTAGAAATATCCTTTTGGCCAATGGTGAGTAACAAGCACCTTTTGTGGGTTTTACTACTAAAATATATGACAGCAAAAGCAGTCATGGGGGAAGGGAGGCATTGAAGTATGAAACATTTTCAAATATCTTTCTGCTGTCCTGCATTTCAAAAATCTCTCATCAACTATGTTCCAGTAATCTCCAAATAAATACATGGCATATAATTCGCATTTACTTGGCCTTGAGCCTACTGTACACTCCTGGAAAAGCATTAAGGGATCAGTTTGCCCACGACCTGCTCCTCCCCTTGTACCTGTATCTACTCCCCCTTTCTTCAAACAATGTGTTTTTTCTTTCCCTTTGGGTAATCATCTTCCCCAGCATTGCATGTCATTCTTTGAGGTCAATACACATTGCTCTGGCCTCAACTCTGGAGCCCAGGGGCACAAGAACAGAAAATGCCTGGCGATATGTGGTCCCAATGGCTGCAGCCTAAGCAAACGGCCACAGTTGCTCATGTCCAGACCTGTTCTTTTCAAAGCCTGCCTGGTCCAACTTCCCTCAGGGGTTGGAGCTATAGCCTCCCCACAACTTCTTTCTTTCCTCCTTTTTCTTTTTCCTTTTGTTTATAGTGGCAGTTTTTGATGTTTATAACAACAATGCTTTCCTATATTTCTTCGAAATATTGGAGGTAAAGAAGTCAGAAACATGAGATATGTGTATACACACTGAGAAAACTGCAACTCTGTTCTCACTGTGGAAATGATTTCAACTTTTTGTCTATCTGGTGTCATCTACTAAGAGGCAGCTGTGGGGACTGAGGAAAAACTCTCAATGTGGCTTCATGACTTCAGATGATTCTGTTACTTTCTGGCCCTTTATTTCTTATTTGTAGAAATAAAGTGGTAAGTTATTTCCAATATCCCTTTCAGCTAAAAAATTCCAAATGAAAGTATCTCAATCTCCACTTACTAAATCAAAGAGTTAATACTTCCAATAAACATAAACCAGAGGACTTATCTTTTCCTATGTCAAGACTTCAGCCAGTTAAATGGAAATTTTCTCCCTGGCACTTCCCTTCTTTTCTCAAGGGCTTCTGTGCCAGAAGAAAACCCAGATGGGCCCTGTGTCTGAGTTAGGAATCACAGAGCCACCCCCGGGAGAACAGGGCGCTGATATTAGGGAAATGAATAAGGCAGCACAAAGAAGAAGACTTTGTTTTTAAAATTCTGTGCATTTAGAAAAAAAAGGGAGGCCAGTCCAGCCTCAAACAAGAGGTTCAATTGTCTCCTCAGTGAGCACC